CCCCAAATTGATGTTGATGGACATAGTACACTCCAGCATTCAGGTGACGAACTGTCCCCGTTTTTCAGTGACCACCCAACAGCAAGTGCTCACCTATGCCTGTTCGCCCTGCTTGGGTTCCATTCGGTGCTCTAAATGAAACCCAAACCATCAATCCATCACCTGACTAGATCAATCGCAAAGTGATCGCCTGGCCGGCTCGTTAGAACAACGGGCTATAAAAACCGCACCCATCTCCCCTTGTCCTCACCGCCCGTGGCTCCGTGCTACAGTGAAACACGTCTCATCATACGGTAATGAGCTCCAGACTCACAGCGAGCAAATCTAGCTTACACCATCGAGAGTTCAGGACAGACGCTGCTATCCGCTTACTTGTATCAGGCCGCGCCCAGGTCAAGTCATTTGGGATTTGTGGTGGACTAAGTGGCAGTGGGGCTCTTTTGTTCAGAGTACTTCGGTTGTCCCTGATAATTCGCATTCCAGGGGCTGGTATAAAAGGGCAATAGTGACGGACGTACCAAGTGGACTCAGCCTCACCCCACCCCAAGAAACTAAAAAAATAAACTAACATTAGTTTTGTGTTTGGTTTCCACTGACACAACCTAACGTAACCAATCCCCTGCTTTGACTAAATAGGTTCTAGACATGTAGATTGTTAGGCTCGAAACCGGATTCATCTGGCTCAGGATAGTTTTCACTGCCAGTTCCCGATATCAGCTACGGTTACCCATACCTTCTAATTACTTTCGAATAGTGTTCGCTTTATTGTCGTAGTTGTTTTGTTTTGCTTCTAGCTGCGCCACTGTATCACTGACTGAAGAACTTGCCACTGGGGAAGTTGTGATTGATGACGCCTGATTGGAACGGGTAGTTAATAAGAGAATGCTGGACACAATCAGAGCCTCAGTGAAGGCGAGGTGCTTTCTGATCAACAGTTCATTATGGTGATCCTTTCAAATTAGATGGATGAGAAACCTGAACCTGCCGGTCACCAGTACGATAATATGGAAGTTGGTAGTGTTGCCGACGTTTCGGAAGTGCATGCTCCCTCCATCTTCACGGTTGATCCTGCACAGTATGAACCGGATTGTCTTTGTAATGGAGACGCAGAAGGTACCCTCAGTTTTTAATTATTATTTAGAAGAATGTCATACCACAAATGGATCTTAGATAGGACGGGATGGTACAGATTGAATTGATCTGGCTCAGGATAGGAACCAGTGGAGGGCTCTTGTGAACACGGTAATGAGCCTTTGGGTTCCATAAAATTCTGGGAAATTCTTGTGTAGCTGCAGAATTGGCGGCTCCACAAGAAGGGCTCAGCTCCATGAGTAAGTAAGTAAGTAAGTAAGTAAGTCATACCACAAAAACTCTATTTGCTATCTTCGGTTGAGGGCGTGATAGGGGACGACAAGACGTAGGCCTCTGAAACCAACAGCCCAGCTTGTATAGAAGGGTACAGTGGCGGACGCGCAACAGGTGGTTGCGCCTGTCACACGGAAAATATTGCTTTGTGTGGCCGTAACATCCACACACGAAAACTTTTTCTTACCACATCTACAAAGAATTACGGGCCATTTTTCACAATTAACAGCGATATAATTCCAAAACACCGTACCACAACACGAGTTGGTAAACAGGACAACGTGCTCGCATTAAGACTGTGCGTTGCGTTGATGCATGATGTCTGTTTCCTCCTTAGGCAACGCGCACTCCAGTAAATTTATGATGATGACGTAACGACATACGTCACTATCTGATGACGCACATTCAAAGATGCTTTAGACTAAAAATATCTTTAACACGTACGATATGGGTTACTGGGGGCTCAATATATATCTATAATTTTCTCGAAACCATCTGGTTTTGTGAAAATACTATGTCAGATGTAACATGCTCTGAGGGACATTACGGAACCATAAGTCTTATTCAAGGTTTTCTCTTCTCAAGTAAATACTTGGCAAAATACTCCCAACATACTCATATCCTTATGGATTATAGGCAACGTGAAAGAACAAGTTGACTTCTGCGTAATCATGCATCACAATAGGAAGGCGTATGGTAAAATGGAGGTTTACATCCACGGATTCTTAATCTCTGCATTAGATTGGGTGCCCCAACTGCTTTCTCTCCAGGAGAAACCCCCCCCGAATGCCGTTGCACCTGAGAACCAATCTGGAAGCTGTGGAGTAGAGAAGAATTCCTTGCCTGTGCCCAGAATCGAACCCCAATTTCTCCGCGAACTGATCCGTAGCCCAGTCGTTGTGCCCACTGAGCTATCCCAGCTTACAGCGCTTTAAGACATGTGGTTTAACGATTCAGTCAGTAACCCAGTCAGCTTCGAATGATCAGAAGGTTCGTAATAATGAAAGAGAATGAGGACAAAGGTAATGACCAGGGCCCGGATTCTGATGACCTGAAAATATTTTAAAAATGACCGAAAAATCCAGAAAAATGACCTAAAATATGACACAAAAATGTAATATGCAGGGCCCGGATTTTGATGACCTGAAAATATTTAAAAAATGACATATAAAACGACCTAAAGGAGAAAGAGAAAGAAAACTTCGCTTCCATGTTATTCACATTTCAGAAAACATATGAAGAAAAATTCCCTAAAATGGCCAAAAATGTCAAGAAATACCCTTAAAAGTCCAAAAATTTACTAAAAAATTACTCCCAAAGTGAAAAAAATGACTTTAAACCTAAAAAATGTCAAAAATGACAAAAAAAATACCTATAAAATTTACCTTTCTGTAACCAACAGCTCGTATCCGAGATTTATCTATTTAAGAGCATCGCACAGGATACAAGGAAAAAAAAAGATGACATGTCATCAAAATCCGGGCCCTGGTAATGACTGTGTTCTTCAAGGGAGTATCCAGAGATTTCCCTGGAAGAACTGGGAAAACCTCAGTCAAAACACTCGGTGTCCCGGCCATACTTCGAGCTTGGTACTTCCTGAATGTAGGTCAGGAGATTTATCGCTTCAACTAACTTCGCGAGCACACCCTGAATATCCTGAAATGATATAGGTAAAGTTGTCTATACGCTTGTTAAATTAAACACTACGCCATGAAGAGGTAAGGTGGAGCGGAGGTATAGCTCCAGCATTCTTAACCTCGGCACTAGCTGGAAGGGTGTGGTTAGCTTCACACCTCTGGTGCTTTACACCCGGGGAAAGTAAGCCCATTAGCCAGTGGATACGAGGCAGATTGGCCACCAAAGCCGGTGTGGACACTGTGAAGAGAAAAATCTTTCCTCTGATTGGAATCGAACCCTGATCGTCCAGCTCGCAGCCACTCACTATACCGAATAAGCTATCCCACCTGCATCCTGAAGTAATAAGTACATGAAACTGAGCCCTTCTTGAGAATCCGCCAGTTGTGCAGCTACTCCAAAACTTCCCAACATTTTATGGAACCCAAATGTTCATTACGGTGTTCACAAGAGCCCTCCACTGTTCCTATCCTGAGCCAGATCAATCCAGCCCATACCATCCCATCCTATCTCTCTAAGATCCATTTTAATAGTCCACCCACCTACGTCTTGTTCTCCATAGTGGTCTCTTTCCTTCTGGCTTTCCCACCAATATCCTACATGCATTCTTCGTCTCCCCCATTCGTGCTACATGCCCTGCCCAATTCATCTTCCTTGACTTGATCATTCTAATTATACTTTGAGAAGAGTACAAGTTATGAAGATCCTCATTATGCAGTTTTGTCCAACCTCCTGTCACTTCATCTCTCTTTGGTCCAAATATTCTCCTCAACACCCTGTTCTCAAACACCCTCAGTCTATGTTCCTCCCTTAATGTCAGAGACCAAGTTTCACACCCATACAGAATCACAGGCAAAATTACAGTTTTGTACATTCTAACTGTTATGTTTTTGGACAGCAGACTAAAAGACAAAAGGTTCTGGACTGAATGGCAGCAAGCATTACCCGAGTTCAATCTCCTCTTAATTTCCTCCTGAATCAGGTTTTGATTTGTTATCGTCATTCCCAAATATCTGAATTGTGCCATATTTTCAGAACGTCTGTTACCTATTTTTACGTCATGATTTCGCCCTGCAAAATATACTTAGTTTTCTCTGTGTTTACTTCTAGACCAACCTCCTTACTAGCGTCAATTAAAGTTTTTTCTTTTTTTTTTATGGTATCTACATTATCACCCAGTAAATTCACATCATCGGCATAGGCAAACAGCTGATGTGTCCCGTTTAATTTCAGTCCCACCTGGTCTTCCTGGACATTCCTAATGCCATATTCTAATGCAAAGTTGAAAAGAGAGGCGATAAAGCATCTTCTTGTTTTAGACCATTCTGGATAGGAAATTTATCAGACAAATATTTACCTACACGGACTTTATTACACGTTTCGTTTAATCACATTTTAATCAGCCTGACTAGTTTCATGACTATCCCAAACTCTATCAGAATATTGTACACTACTTCCCCCCCTAACTGAATCATAGGCTTTCTTGAAGTCTATGAATAGCTGATGTACTGTCTCATCGTACTCCCATTTTTTCTCCAGTATCTGACGAATGCAAAAGATTTGATCAGTAATTGATGTTACGTTGAAACCCACAGTGATTATCCCCAATAATTTCATCTATATATGGACTTAACCTTGAGAGAATAATATTGAATAAAATTTTGTATGAAGTTGATAGCAGTGATATCCTTCGATAATTACTGCAATCACTTTTATCACCCTTCTTGTGAATTTGTACAATAATAGACTCCTTCCACTGATCAGGGAAGTCTTCCTTATTCAAACAGGAGCCTTAAAATAAATTAAACATAGCGAATGGAATTCACAAATGGCAATATTCTTACATTAGACCCTGCCTTATATGGTGATATCAAAATAAAGTACTAGAAAGATTAACTTAGTAACCCATTTCGACTCAAATCTCTGTTTTTCCATCTAGTTACAGTGTACACAGAACATAGTTTTGCTATTATCAGTAAATTGCTAGAGTTGGCCCTTACCTGATTAAGTTCCATGGTGCACAGAGGTTGATTCCCGTTGAAATATGGCGTAGATATAGAAATTATTATCATTACTATTACCACCAAAACTGTCCTGAACAATTCTTCCCACTGAGCTTCTGTTTTCTTGACCAGACTTACGTTTCATGTTGAGGCTTGCACATTTCCCGTTAAATCATATGACAGTTCATTCTTTGGTTCACTGTTGCCCAACTTTAAATCACTGGGGGGCAAGCACTGAATATAGGGTACCTAGCCGCGGGTTGCACTATGAAGGAACATCGTCCTTCTAATGTACGGATAAAATATCTCCCAAGTTGATCGTGCTTAAAAATTAACCACTATAAGTTTGTTACACCGTGGCGATACTGCATACAATCGTGGTGTTATGCTAATCCAGTGTCTTCCATTATATTTATTGCGTGTAACGTGAAATAAATTGAAAAGCAACAACGAATATTTCGTGAGCATTCAACGGTCTTTCTAGAAAGACAACACAATAGTTGATATATTTTGGGGAACGGAAGTATCAATAATTTATGATTTTCCCAACCTTATTTTTCATTTGACTCTCTTTAATTCCACCTAAATACTTTCCTACTCGTATATTCCTTACGTGTGTTCTGTCTGTGCAATTTATTACCTTTCTGTCGGCTTATTCCTCAGTCATGCCATGCCACTTTTTACACAGTAATTATATCCTCTACGTTTTGTCCCCGGGAAGTTCAGTAGCACGAGTTTAGTTTGCAATTAAAATAATGTATGAAACTAAGAGTCGCGACGCTGACTACCAACTGGCTGTCTGTACCTTAATAGTTAGTTTAAGTCAATTACATCAATGAAATTATTTCAACCATGCGGTGGATTTAGAGGTTAGAACGATTTTCTTGTATCATCGAGTGTTACGGCCACCATCAGTGTCGATCTTAACTATTCGAGTGAAATATAATCTCTTTTTAAACACTAATAACCACATTCTGAATCAACAGCCTCAATATTAAGTTCACATTCAATCGAAATTTACAATGAAATAATACAGGCAATCACTCCACCATATAAACGCGCCATACTGGCTTGTTGTAAGCAGCGATTGGTGGGGCTGGCATGGTGGGGATGCACAGCCGGTGATAGCTTTCCTTAGCGTCACGGGTATACACCGTGGGATAGAATCGTTTGCAATCTCGGCCGCTCTATTGCAGTGTTTCTCAACCGTCGGGCCGCGGGGCGGCAGCGGGCCCTCGTCTTATGAAAAAAGAATTTACCGGGCAGCGGACTCACAGAGGTTGAAAACCACTGCTCTATGGCTGTTGGCCATTCTCGGAATCTTCAGCCGGCTTTTCAGAACTGATAGTCGGCACGAAACAGTTTTACAGTAAGAGATTTGGCGCTTGCGCTATAGAGAATTGTGTCTTATAGGATATGACGCCGTCTGCTCCTTTCGTGGGTTATTTAACGCCGCTATTAGCGTCTTTATGTGCAAAGAATTGCTTGGCTTTGCTTCTTAATCACACTTTTCACAACGTTGCGCTGTTCGCCCAAATTCGAGATGACAGTACAGGACTTCGATGAGGAGATTTCAGACATTTTGAACCACCACTTTCTTTTTAACTTTGTCCGAAAAAAATTCGAACCCCCATAAAGAATTTCGTTCGTTCATTGCTCGAGAACTACTTGTCGTGGAGTATTGACTCTTTCCTTACTTTCGACTGAGTATTTTTTTATTGCTAGTGGGGTGGGACTAAGTCCTTTGTACTGCTGCCACTTCTGGCTTATTGTACCAGCCCCAGATGATAGGTGAGGGTGATTGTGGAGCAATTGGTGGAATGAAGATTGGCAGGGGAAACCGAAGTACTCGGAGAAAACCTCCCCCAGCGCCACTTTGTCCACCACAAGTCCCACTTGACCAGACCCGGAATCGAACCCAGGCCGCCGCGGTGGGAAGCCAGCGACTAACCGCTTGAGCTATGGCGCGACCCTTTCGACAGAGCCTTGAAAACTTCCTGATTACACGCGTGCACTTAGTTCAGACAACTCCTTGGATTTGCTGTGTTCTGGAAAGAGATGCCGTGTGCATTCTCGTGGAACTTAATGGTGACTTACGAGTAATCCTTCATCAGTAGTTAGTACTTTTATGTATTCTGGAGGTCGCTGGTTCAAAACTTATATAGGGGATCGGTTATACTATCAACTTTTCATGGTGTTACTCAACTTATTTAGAGAAATTACTGGGATAATATCTTAAATCTGGCCACGACCGCTTCCTTCCATATCCTTTTCAATTCATCATTCACTCTCAGCCTATCATTCGGCGATATATAGCACCTGTCACTAACAGAGCCATTGAATTAACGAGAAGCGAAATTCATGGCGTCTTGTCTCGTAAAAAGCCATCTTCAGCAAAGGTTAACGAAATCTTTTCAGTGTCTTCCAGGGGCACAGCAGAATTATTTCCAGGAGGTGGGGTCAGAACTTTTCCTTACAAACCTCCGCCTAAGCCGTCGAAGAATATTTTTTTACGGATCACCCTAAAGTTCTAAGTTTCTATATTTTAACACAGACGGCGTCAGGTACATAAAACTGTAAAGAGACGCTTCATAACTTACACTCCTCACTAAGTATTTTATTAGAACGCTCAAGTCAAGGAGATAGGCAGAGCATGATTACGTACGAGACAACGAGACAGGGATCTATGTAAGGTTTTGGCAGGAACCCCATGAAGGAAAGAGACAAAAAGGAAGACTTAAGGGTTGGCGAAGGATAATATTAAAATGAATTTTAATGCATCTGACTCCAGATAGTAGCCAGTGGCAGGCTTGAGTGGCTAAGGGACTCTTAGTTTCTCAGGAAGGACTTACTTCCATGGAATTATATTTGGATATTTTTCCAAAAATAGTAAAAAGAGGCCAGGCAGATGTCTGGTGTGACTGACAGTTTTCTAAGAACCCCTCAGGAATACGAATAGAGCTATACGATAAACCACAAGATTCTTGCAGGAAGAGACTGCTAAGAGGTAGAGATCGGTTTCAGTCATTGACCTCCCTTTCGGCAAGCGCATCTCATTCCAGGAAGTAAGAGAGTTTGGTAATGTGAGATACTTGGAACATCGTGCAACCGAAATAAAGTCTGGGGTTCATTTCAAAACAGACGCTGTTTAGACCGTCTCTTCTCGATGTCATGGCTACGAAACTGACTTCTCTTGGTCCTTTGATTCGTGAGGCTTTGTTATTGTTTACGCTTTGTGAAGATGAAAGGAATTTTCTAGAGGCGATACTACCCTTGTAGTAAGCCGAGGACAATATTCCCCTTATCTACATAAGTTGTCTCTCCCACGAGGGCGGTGCCTTTGTCAGTGTAGATGTCTCGAACGTGGCAGAGAGAGGCTACATTTGATGCCGGAAGGCAACAACAGTCCCCAGCCGATATCTCCAGAATCATATGACATTTTGATGAAACTTGAGGATAACATTATTCCTTGGTATTTAGTAGGTACCAGGTTCAAATCTCGTCCCAGGGACCGGTTGTCCTGACTGAGGCTAACTCCCTCTAGGACAATCCAGGGATAGTGTCTCAAATTGTGTATGGTCTGAGGTTCACAGTAGTGAATATAGAGGCGTATAGACCCTTTGCTAAGCGGTGACTCTGTAAACAAAGACCGTTTTTGGACAACGGTTCTGTAAACACGTTCCCGCAACAATGAATACCCGCGTAACAATAGAGTTACTGTTGGAAACGATGTGTTTTCTATGTAGTCCGTGCCGAGATGTTAATACCAGGACAATTGGAACAGGTTCAAAACCCCGTGTGGAGGCGGGGTCGAATACCTCCACCGTGACCCTGCGAGTCGTAGGTGGCGACGAAAAGGGAAGTCTCAAATGTGAGACAGTAAAATATGGTCGCGAGTCCCAAGGGATTCGGACCCGAGAAAGACTGCGCTGGCAAGGACCAGCAGTATGTATTTAAGACACATTCGTCCTCTCGTCGGAGAGGGCGCCCCACAAAAACAAGATCATAAATGTCAAACAGTAATAAATATCTGGTTATGAGCCCCAGTTGGGGCTCGACACCAAGACTTCCTGATAGACTGACCGTCAGTCGCAATGTGACGTTGACTTTGACAGGGTGGAAACTTGATTGGAACAAGTCGTGGCTCGATGTTTAATTGACTTATTCTTTGACACTGAAGATGTAAGCAGTACGTTTCTCCGACACTTCGGGAGACTTTATGTCACGTCCCATAAGACATTGCTCTTAACAGTCTTGTCCGCTACAACGTGTTTCCAGGGACGTTTAGATTCAACAAGCTGTTATATCCCAGGTAAATCAGCTGAACTTCCACACACGATCAAGATTGGTGAATCTGTACCACGCAAGGTCAGAGACCTGTACAGGCTTCCAGAGTCTTCCTGTAACACCTCATATGTAACCCAAGCTCGGGGCTACACTGTCTGTCCTGAAACTAAATTCGCTAAACAAGAAATGAACCCCCGTTCTGTAACCAACAGCGAATCTATTAATACACTTCCTTGAGCAGTCGGACTGGCGTAAGGATATCTCGCGGTGTTCTGATGGACCCACTGAGATTCAACGCAGTGATGAGAAACATGCATCTTAGTACGAGTATACACCACATATTTGTATATCTGACCGGCTCTCTGTTGCCACCCAAGGCTGTGGTATTCAAACTGTCATGCACGTACCAGTGGCGGTCCGCTCGGGTAATAATTTGGTAGGTCCCTTAACGCCACAGGTCGACAGGTACATGTGAGATAACGGAGGTTTAGCGTAACAAAAGAGGCTTTATTTAATCTTACATATATATACGATACTTCTATCAACTTCCTAGTTAGGAGGGAACAGTTTGGAGAAAACAGCATAAAGAGGAGCTTCATAATTTGTACGCTTCGCCAAGTATAATTATAATTATCATCAAGGAGGATGCGATGGGAAGGGCATGTAGCAGGCATTGGGGAGAAGATGAATGCATACGGGAATTTGGTAATAGAGCCAAGACGTACTTGCGAGGATAATATTGAAATTGATCTTACAGAAATAGGATGGGATAGAGCAGACTAGATTCATCTGCTTTGGATAGATACCAGTGGCGGGCTCTTGTGATCACGGCAATGAACCTTCGGGAACTATAAAATATTGGGAAACTCTTGAGTAGCTGAGCAATTGTTGACTTCTCAGAAAGGACTCAACTCCATGGAGTTAGATCAGTTACGAAAAAGTTTCAAGCCTTTTCTGTCTCGAGATATCAAGAGATTTTATAACGTGTGCCTGTAAGATTTTCTTGCACCTCCAAAACCGGGATAACCGAACCGCAATAGCGAGCAAGCCACAAACTGTCAGGAAATTATGTTCGCCAATTTGTACTTATGTCAGAGGGTTCTGTTCCAATCGTGATCAAGTCATTCCATTCGCCATGAATCATTACTTACAACAAGACTAACTCTGTTTCAATCCGCGAATGATTACGACGACATCCATTAAATTTATTGCTGTTTATTTTGGCAAGGTACCGCGACCTCAGGATGACTAATGATGCTCTGAAATTATGATGACGCGGTCATTTTGTTACTTTCATATCGCGATCGACGTTTTCAAACTACACTCATATCGATGTTACAGCCGTATAAACACGGGATGAAACAAAAGATCCAGCTGCTGTGTCAGTCCGCATTAAGAAACTTGTTCCCTCGACACAAGGAGCATAATGTAATGTTAAATCATTTGATATCGATTGCTTCTGCGGAGCTGTAAATACACACAGGATCCCACGCTCTAGTTTAGCGGGTCTTTACTAACTGGGCCAGAGTTCGAGTCCCGGTAATTCCTCTGTAAGCGAAAGGAATTTCAGACTCTCTCTTTCTTTCACCCACTTCGTTCCAAGGAATCTTTTTCTTGCATAGCCGTTGCCTCATCGATATGTCCTCCTATACAGGCAGAGTAAACCCTCGCTACTCTGGTTACAGTTAAACATGAAAAATGAAATTTCTGTTCACAGATGACTACATACTTCGAAAGACACATGGGATTTGTGAGCAAGAGGGGCT